CTACGCAAGGAGGTTGACAGGCAGCGGCTCGACTGCAAGGAGAAGGGTCACCTGTAGCAAAGAGTCTCTATCTTCGCAACTGCTAAAGGGCGACTCAAATCCTTGAGATGTACCGGCATGCTACAGCGGCCAGCTTCTTCCAGGTTGGCAGAGGTCGCTTCGCTGCGAGCAGCTGTTTGCCAGTCAGAGGCCGGCAGGGAGTTATTCTTTTGTGCTGACGTTTCGTTTTTTGTGTTGTCGCACCCTAACAAAGTGCACACTTTCACAAATGAATGGCAGGAGAGCAGGGGGGTGGGAGGTGTTGGCCTGTTCTGGCTGCTGGCACCGCCGGAACAAACGTCCGGAATGTCTTTGAAGAAAGGAGGGGTAGAGGGAGCAGGAAACAAGTACGTGCTCGTTTTGTAGTGTCAGTTTGCTTGTCATTCTCACCACAGTTGGGGGGTGTAGCAGCAGGACATGATTTTGCACTATTGCACCTCTATTGAAAGCGTATGTTATTCTTCATATTCTTCCAATTGTCTATGATTTAGTGTGTGGGAATCCCTACAGCAGATGATGTCCCCTTGACCAGGTCAAAGTAGCGTCACCCGCCACAGTGCCATGCACCTTCCACTGGAGGGTTGTTGAGCTGCCGTGAAGATCCTGCCAGGATGCAAACCTGGAGAACAACCTGGTAGAATGCATCGACATGTCTGAGTGAAAGTTATCAGACTGTTGTTGGAATCTTACCGGTATGCTCTTGAACATGCTTTTGAATATTGCAATCAGATACCGTTTAGGTTGCCTCGAATAGCTGCGGCAGCATGTCTTGCTGTTGCCGCAACACTCCCAAATCTAGGAAAGAACGTACCCACTCCTTGACACAGCAATTACACAAGACTTGTACATAGCTTGCGCACGCTCAAAGAACGATAATGTTGGTGAGCGCCTTGACTAGGTGTGGCCGCATGCATGATACTATGAGCGGAAGCTCTGAAGCAGTAAGGACGAATGCGTATGCCGTCATCGCTCAAGAAAGTGATGTCCTGGGTCCCCCAGGTATTGGACTTGGTTTTGAAGGGCTCCTTAAGTGGTTGGTGGGGGCTTGGGTGTCCGGCGCACTGCTCGTCATCGGCCCTTCTGACCCTTTCCATCTTCTTGGCTGGTTTTGGTTTTGGGGCCCTTTCTACCCTCTTCTTCTTCAGGGAGGCCCTCTTCCGGACTTTTCCTCTGGCCTCGCAAGTTCCTCCGGCCTTCCGGCCCTCTACCACTTCCCGCCTGGCTGGGTACCTGCATGAGTGATAGCAAGGCTGAGGTGGACTTGGACTCCCTCACCCAAGCTATCGAACAGCTCCACCTGGCAACTGGATCCCTTGCTCGGGCCGTCCGTGGGCCCCCTTCTTCAGGCACCGACGACTGGGTTTTCGTGCCATCGGAAGGTCAGCCTGACACTCCAACCTCTAAGGACCCCAGGCCCGAGCCCGCCGATAAGGTTGACCCGGCCCCTAAGGACCCTAGTCCCGGACCAGACGCCGAGCCCTCTTACACCCCTAAGTTTCGGTTTAGGCCCCCGCCTGTCCCTGCCGACGCGGGCCCTGAGAGCCTGCTGCATTTGGTTGTTGGCCTTGCCCCTGCTGTTCGCCTCGAGCGCGCACGTCGAGCTTGGAACGCTGGACTTCAGGCTCGCCAGCTTTTGGCCGGCACCCAGGACTTTCCGGACGCCACTCCGCCCCTGCAGGTCAGGTCTGGGTTCTACGTGGTCTTGCGAAACGGCAGAGGAGGAGAGCCGGCCTGCTACAACAGCTACTCCGGGTTCAAGAGGGACGTTGGGGCCCTCTCTGGGACAGACACAGTGTGCCACGGCTTCCCTACGCAAGGGGAGGGCCAGATCTACGCGGCCGCCGCAGGCGTCCCGTTGCCTCGCATCCTGCCGTGATGGCTGCAGACATGCTGGTTTTTGCTTCCGAGGGCCACCTTTTCCCTTACCTTGCTCGACCTCCTGTGGCTGGTTCTCCTGGAGAAGGCGCCCGTCGGGTTCTGTGCGTGCCGGTCCTTCCCAGGGAAGGTGGGTTCCTCCTCGCCTTGCCGGGGGGTTCCATTCCTCCGAGCTTGCTGCTACGTGGCCAGACTGAGGGGCCGACGACATGATAGGGCCCTCGACCGAGCTCACTGTTCCCGCCGTGGAGGAGGAGGAGGAGGATGGAAGCGAGGTGCCCGTGGATTCTCCGTTGCAAGTGCTGGTGGTCGATTTCGCCACCTCGGCCGCCTCGTACCTCGAGCCTTTCGACCCTGCATCCTTGGAAGAGCCGGTGCCGTTCCTTACAGCTTCCCCGCAGGTCTTTCCCCAAGGGCTTCAGCTTGTCTCCTTGTGCAAGGGTTGGCTTCGCACGATGGCTGCCGACCGGCTCGCTTTTTACACGGCTCCCGAAGAGGAAGAGGAGCTTCTAGAGGAGGCCCCTCCCGAGGTGCCCGCAGCCAAGCCCCGCCCGAAGCGGGTGACCACGGCACAGCTGGCCGACCAGCTGGGATCGATCAGCCAGCTCTTGCCCACCATCACCAGCCAGCTGAAGGAGATCTCCGAAAAGCAGGCAAAGGTGGAGAGCCGGCCGGCCGAGCCCGCTCTGGCTCCGCACAGGAAGCCCTTCGTGTTCCCCACCGCAAAGGCAGGCGCAGGTGCATTAGGTGCAGGTGCTCTGGCTTCGCAGGTGGGCCCTCCGCCCATGACTCGGCCTCCCAAGGCGACGGCGCCCGCCCCCGCAGAGGATGGTTTTTTGCAAGACACGCTGGAGCTCGGAGACCCTTCTGCAGGAGGTCTCGGCGAAGGCCTGGCAACCTCGGCCCTGACTCAGCAGACTCAGGCCCTGACTCAGCTAGAAACACACCTGATCCAGAGCTCCGACGGGGGGGCCGACTTCGGGGGCAGCCAAGGGGCCCCGGGCCTTTTCGTCGAAGGGCAGTGCCAAGAGGGAGCGCCTCCTTGCCGAGCTGGCCGAAAGGAACGGCTCTTTCATGCTGGCCGTTGCCCAGCAGGGCTTCCGCCGGATGTACCCTTCGGAAAATGTTCCCCGGACTCTGGACGAGTTCCGGGCCGAGCCTCGCAGGTTCACCTTCGGCCAATATCTGGAGAGGTATGGGGGGTATGGGGCCCAGAGGGAGCTCGGCCTCACCATGCACATGACCACCCAGATTGCCGACGTCCTTTTGTCTGGGGAGACAGACGCCGCCCTGGACCTGCTGGCCTTGATGGTGACCTGCCTGGAGCAAGTCTGCCAAGACGGTGGGAAGTGGGAAGTGGGGTACACCCTATCTCTCTTCCCGGAGCCGGCCCACCAGGTCTTTTCTTCGAGGGGCAGCCCGCAGAATCCCAGGCTGAGGGCCTGGGCTCCTTTGTGCCCGGCCCCGTGGGCCACCACCGCCCTTGCCTTCCTGAAGGAGGCAGACAATATCATAGCCCGCCGGCAAGAGGCCTCAGCATCGGCGACCTCATCGAGGAGGGACCCTGCCGCGAAGAAGCCGCCAAAGAAGCCCAGGTTTCCCAGAAAGCCAAAGGCCGAGTGACCAACCGCCTTGTGCCTGCCCGTGTGCCGCTCTGTCTAGCTGCGCTACTTAGCCTGCCTTTTGGGCCCCAGGCTGGTGCTGGGCCAGTTCAAGATGGCCACTGCAATGCCTCTTCAGACCTTCCTGAGGTGCTTTCCCCCTTAGGTGGTTATCGTACCCTAAGGCCCGGCCCCTATGAACTGCCTCGGCCTCCCGGCTTGCCTCAGGTCCTTTGCCTGCATGACCTCCTGGCGCCATGTTTTAATTCCCAGGCCCCCCCTGCCTCTCAGCGGGTCGCTGGCCCTAATCCTCCTCAACCTGAGCCGGTTCAGCTTTGCCTTGCCGAGCTTCTAGTGCCGACCGCTCCCCACGAGGGCGGCTGTACATTAGGCCCTGGTTCCCTTTGTGAGCCCCGGTGCCCTGGCAAGCCTCAGGTTCTTTGCTTGCGTGACCTTCTGGCGCCATTTTATAATTCTTCTGCTCGCCCAGCTTCGCCTCGACGAGCTAGCCCTCGGGCTTGCGACCCCGCCTCGCCGCCTCCTGTCCCTAAGAAGGTCGGCCAAACAGCAAAGCATGCCTTGTCGTTTAGGCGGTGGTCTCTCTCTTTTGCATTTCGGGTGGTCCGAACTCGCACCCCCTTCGCGGCCTTCTTGGCCTCTCTTCTGCACTTGCCGCCGGCGAGCACAGCCTCGCCCTCCAAGTCTTTGTTCCCCTTGCCCATCCCATTCTATGGTTTGTTTTCGGCAAGTGACCCGCGACTGAGTGCTGCAGCCCGCTCCCGTCTTGGAGCTCAGCGGCTTACCTTTGTTACTGTTGCCGCCCTCAACTACCTGCACGCCGGCTCCCGCAGGGTGCCCCTCTCAGCCATGCGGAGGCCTCCGAATAAGCATCAGGCCAAGGCCCTGGATTATATCGGAAGGCTGATCAAGACTTGCGCCGGATGTTCGAGCATATGTGTGCCCGACTCGTCCCGCCGTGCACGCCAATTACTTGCAAGGCTCGGTGAGGTTTCTGACAGCCTCACCGCCCTCGGGTTCTCCTCGGATAAGTGTGGGCCCGGCTTCCCCGGCCTGAAGCTTGATGGCCCTGCTTCCTTTGATGCCCTGCACCCCTACCGCAGCCTAGACCCGGGCAGGCTTAAGTTGTCGGGCAGGGCAAACTGGGATCCGTCGGATTACCTCGATGACCTCTTCTATTTGCCGTTTCGGGAGCCCGACCTCCTGCTGCTTCGGCCGTGCCCTTCCCCTGGCCCTGCTGAGGTCCCGGACCTCTCTAAGGAATCTGCCGTGAAGGTGTATGACCTCGCCCGCCGCTGGGACAGCTTTGGCCTACTCCGCCTGGCGTGCACGGGGCCCTCCCCTAGGTTCCAAGGAGTTCGCGTCTTTAACGCCTTAAAAACCGTTGAGGTAGATAGGCAAATAGGGGATAAGAGGGGCAGAAACCTCTGCGAAGGGACTCTCGCCGGCCCGTCGTCTGCCCTCCCGTGCGGCCCCCAGCTCACGAGCCTCTACATCGACCCCCTCTAGGCAGGAGTTCTCGATATCGGTGACAGATAGATCCGACTTTTACCACCAATTGGCAGTGCCTCCCCGGCGTGCACTGAGAAATGTGTTGGTGCCTCCGATTGAGGCTGCTCGGGTTGCTGATCTTCGGGCGTTTCAAGCCCAGCCCCTCCTTGATGATGTGCCCTCCGGCCTCAGGCGCGGCGAGCCGAGCAAGAAGCTCTTTGCCTGTTTCAATGCCGTGCTTCAGGGGGATGCGCTGGGAGTGGAAGTTGCAACTTCCTCCCATGCTCGCTTGCTTTGCTCGGGGGGCCTCCTCGACCCGGCCTCCAGACTGTGCGGGGGGCAGACGTTTCCACACGGAGCCCCTGAGGATCTGGTGCAGGGGCTCATAATAGACGACTTTTTTGCGATTAGCTGTCCCGAGCTTGGAGCCAAAGGCCCCTCCCTTGCTTCCCGTGCGCTCGCTCATGCCCGCGCTATATATGCCAGGGAAGGCCTTCTGGGGTCTGTCGAGAAAGACATAGACGGCAGCTGCTGTGCCACCGTAGGGGGCGCTGAGCTCGATGCTTCCGCCTCTACCCGCTCCCAAAGGATCGCCACCGTCGGGCCCCCCAGGGCAAAGCGGCTCGGCCTAGCCGCCATCAGCCTCGAGAGCTGCCGGCTGAGGAAGACGAGTGATGTACTTCACCTTTGCTTGGTCGGGGGCTGGGTCTCCGGCTTCTGTTATCGGAAGGCCCTTATGGCTTGCTTCGACAAGGTTTTCTCCTTTGTGAACGCCACCGAGGTTGACTCTAACAGCCCCCAGGTCGTGGATTTGCCCAGGTCTGTTGCTGACGAGCTCGTCGTTGCCGCCGCGTTGTCGCACCTCCTCGCCAGTGACGTCTCGGCCCCCTGGGCTGAAAGGCTTTTCGCCGCCGACTCCTCCGAGTCCCGGGGGGCGATTGTGCAGAGCCCCATCAGCAAAGAGACCACCTCGCTCCTTCGGAGCTCTACCTTCAAGGCCGCTGGTCCTGCTCGGCTTTTGTCGCGGGAGGAAGCCGCACTTCGCCGGATAGATCCTGACTATGAGCCCCGGCTTCCTCCCCCCCTTGAGGGCTCATCACCGAAACGCCCTCCAGCCTGCCGCTTCCACTACCTCCAGCTCTGGGGTGCTTCTAAGGGTATCGGCCACTACCTTGAAGCTCTAGGTTGGACCACGGGGCCCTGCATCGACCCCAGGACCTCTGTGGAATATGACCCGAGCTCCGTGCGTGTGTTCGAGTGGGCTGCTTTCCTTGTCGAGGCAGGAGCCCTGGCAGCCGTTCACGTGGCACACCTGCTGGCCGAAGGCCCTCTAAAAGGGAAACCCGGGCAAACCGCTACACAGCACATAGCCTGGCACTCCTCCACGTCTGTCTCCGGCATCAAGGGCCTCGCTCGCACCTCGGCTCAAGGCCTGGCAGGACCTCTGCAAAAAGAGGGAGGTTCAGGTTGAACGGCTCCCGCTTGGCCACCCTGAGGGAGGCACGCTGTTCCTGTCAGTGGGTTTCCCCGCTTTTGAGCTCTTGGCTCAGAGCTGGCGCCGTGACCTCCTTGTGCAGCCTCCTGAACCCGGCCTCGGCGAGGAGGTCTGGCTCGAGGCTGCTGCTGCCTTTGACTTCTCCCTTTGCCTTCGCTCCCAGGCTCTTGCCAGCTGTCGCCTCGACGCGGAGGGCCTCGAGACACCCCTTGTCAACGACCTTGCGCTGTCCTCGAAGTGGACTACCCTACGCGCCTGGAAATGGCCAGGCCCGGTGCACATCAACATCCTTGAGTGTTCCTGCGTCTACCGGCTTATGTGTTCCCTCGCTCGTTGCTCGGGCCCTTTGCGGTTTGTGACACTGTGCGACAGCGCTGTGACCTGCCACGCCTTGCGAAAAGGTCGCAGTCCCTCCGCAGGCCTCCGAAAAGTCCTCCGCAGGATCTCTGCTGTCGGCCTTGCCTTTGGACTTTACCCAAGTGCGCCCTACTGCCCTACGCGTCTTATGCCGGCCGACCACCCGTCCCGAGGTGCTGAGATCCCGGACCCCTTGCCTAGCCGACTTGGCCACCTTGTGGGTTATAGCGCGCTGCTTCCGCTCACCCGGATTGTCCCGTCTAGGCGCTGGGCTTCGAACTGGCTCCGGCTGTTCTTTGGGCTTACCAGCTACAGGCCTCTTGGCGCTGGCGAGCTTTACCGGTACCAGGGCCACTCCTTCCGGACTTTTGTCCCTTGCCCCCTCGACTTCTGTTCCTGGGGGCCTGGCTTGGCCCCTTCCCACCTCGACTTAGTGCGGGCCCCTCGGCCTTCCTCGCCCCCCCTGGTGGACTTCGATTCCTCACTTGGCTTTCCTGGTGAAGGGCCCCAGGCCGATAGAGACTGCTTCCCTCGTCCTTCCAGGCCTCCCCTTGTGGACTTCGATTCCTCGCTTGGCTTTCCTGGTGAAGGGCCTCTTTGTCAGAGCAAGTGCGCCTTCCCCCTTGGGTTCTTCGTTCTTCTGTTCCTTCAGGGAGTTCAGGGTCCGGTTCCTTTAGCTACGAGCCATGGCCTCCTACTGCCGCGCTCTGCCCGAAACCGCCAGAGACAGGAGCGACGTGGAGCCGGTGACCTTCCTGCGGGACGACCTGTCGAGCCTGTTACACAGAAAAACCGTGAGGCTCTTTGGGCCTCTTTTTGTGAGTGGCTTGCCACTGCTGGGATCGAACGCGGCCTTTTCGAGACAGCGGAGGGCCAGCAGGACATCGATGGCATCAATGCCGTACTCGGGCGGTATGGACGTGAGCTTTATAGAGCTGGCCGCCCCTACGCTCACTACTCCGAAACCCTGAACGCTTTTAGCAGCCGGGTGCCGAAGCTCAGGAGACTTCTTCAGCCGGCCTGGGACGTAGCCTTCGCTTGGAGGAGAGAGGAGCCCTCCCTCCACCATGCTGCTATGCCGTGGCAGGTGCTGGTCGCTTTGGTCGCCACCGCGCTGCTATGGGGATGGGTGAAGGTCGCTGGAGCTCTGGCCCTTGCTTGGGGGGCCTTCTTAGGATCGGCGAGGTCCTGGGTGCTCTTCGATCTGACCTCCTGCTGCCCTCGGACGTCCAAGGGACATCGGACTATGCTCTTCTATCCATACGGAACCCGAAGACGAGGTTCTCAGCTGCAAGGCACCAGGCTGTAAGGGTCGACCAGCCTAACCTGCTCGCGGTCCTTGAGCTCGTCTACCAGAAGGTTCCTGCGGGGTGTAAGCTCTGGCCCTTTTCGGGTCAGACCTTACGCTCGCGCTTTCAGCAGCTGTGTGTCGCTTTACAGCTGCCCGTCGGGAGATCGCCTGGGAAGAACGGCCTCGAGCTCTCCTCGTTGAGAGCTGGAGGCGCTACCTGGTTGATGAATACTGTCGAAGATTCTGAATTTGTCAGGCGCCGCGGAAGATGGTTATCCAGTCGGATAATGGAAATCTACATTCAGGAGGTGACTGCTTTACAGTTTCTTCCGACTCTCCCGGCTTCCGCGCGAGAGAAGGTGTTTCTGGCTCTCGAGACGTTTCCAGGGATACTTGACCGCGTGGTCTTCTTCGCCTCTGTCGGCATTTTGCCGACAGTCTGGTACAAGCTGCTGGCCGAGGATTCGTTCACGATGACGGATGGGAGGAATACGGGTGGCAGGCTGCGCAATGCAGTAGCTGCCCAACAAGGGCGGCATGTGAACTTCACTTTCGCTCGTCAGAAGAGAAAAGAGTGAGGCGAGCATGAGTCCTTAGATATATCTTCTGTGAACGAGGGCAACATGTTATCCTGAGAAGCAGGCTGCAGCGAATGGCAACGTCGTTACTGCAAAGCATAAAGCAGTCTCTCCGCGTATTGATTTCCACCGAGATGCGTGTCTGTACCATATGAGACCTACAGCACCGATCGCGTTTGGTGAGCGATGTGCCGGCGCAGAGATGCGATCTCTCTCCTCTTTCTTTCTTTCTTTCTTTCTTTCTTTCTTTCTCGCTCTCG